TCAGTCCGCCTTTACCTCGGTTATGCATTTTCTGTCACAGTATTATGATTTCTGTCGACTTTAGGCAAGACTCGAAAGGCGACATTGGTGACAGTGGAAAGCGGAACTGATCCTCTTCTTGAATTCTAAGCATTAACTTGCAGAGGAAGGCCATACACTGCTTATCTGCGGAAACGCCTTCATCAAGCGAGGCAATGCTAGTTGTGAACCATCTGAAGAACCCTTTTAGGGAGCTGTCATGGGCACCTGCATGAAGTTGTCCGTTAAGTGAACACGCGAGACCATCTCCGCCTATCTACTGGCTGGATATAACTCAGTTTGGTGTGGCTGATTAGAACCGAATTGAGAACAAAGTGGCAAAGAGGAGCAGACAGGGCACATTATTCTCATGAAACAATTTTAAACTTCCTGCTTGATTAACTGACTGCACTTAGGCCAGAGTTTTTAAGGCCACTGATAAACAAACCTGATGGTCAGCACATTTTCTTCCTTTATTTAATACAGTCTCCTAACAGGACGCAACTCCAGATACAGTGGAATTATCAAGAGGGATCAGTGATGATGCAGTCAAATATCTTTTAGCACCGGCTACGTTTGCTTAGCCGACACGGGAGGTTGACCAAGGGGAGCGCCGGGGACAACGTTCAAAAGGAGCAGCAGCAGATAGTCCGCCCTAGTATTATGACTTCTTTTGCCCTCAGGAAAGACTAAGGGCACTACAGTGTTTCGTTTGTACTTAAAAGGAAGTCTTGCATCTAACTGGTGGATTAGCCGTTTTTTGCACGTAGAACACGTAGGCGAAGGACAGCTTGCAGCTGAATCCGAGGGGGGGAGGATTGGACGTATCACCGCTGACCTTAAAAAACCGCACCCATCTCAAGGTATTTTCACAGTTAGCGATGACAGGATGAGAGCAACATCGGATAAAGTCGAAGAGTCAAAGTCCGTCTCCATTTGAGGTTATGCGATGAATCGATGCAAATAGTAGGATGAACCAGTGAGGAACTAAGACAGCCTGTCATACTGGACGGTTTCACGTTCTCATCGAAAGCGAACGGGAATGGGGATAAACTTGCTACAGCACACTGCCCAGCCTAAAGTGACACTAGCCTAACGAACCAGCACGGCGCCAGTACCATGAAGCACCACCAACAGCCTTTTAGCTACAAAATACTGAACATTCATTGTAAGAATGCACTGCATATTATTTGGCCATAAAATAAGAAACGTCTAACATAATTTCCAAAGTTCTTTCATTTGGAAGTGATGCACCATCACCACTTCTATCAAAACCCCACTTTTTGGCTTCAAACTACTTGGTTATCATTGTTCCGAAGGGAAACAACGGTTCAGTTAGGCTAAATCTACATTCGCGCAATTTTTGAATACTTAATCAACAGCCTAAAACATTAATGAAGGTTGATGGTTAGTTCGTTCATGACTGACGGAATTCCCGTGATTTGAGAAGCCTAATTCTAGGAGGCCATGATGGAGGAGCTGATGACAAAAGAGGAAGAAGGTGACACATAAGATGGGAGGGTTTGATGCACTTTCTAAGACCCACGTTATTGGACGGTGGTATATCAGACAGCTCAGTGGCGTAAAGGAAGTAGATGCCACGAAGATATCGTATCTAATTTTGATGATGTTCCAACAATGTATTTGTGTTTGAATTTAATGTCAAAATACGGTCTAATGCTAAGTTTTACATTGTCAACGGCGGGGAGGGTTGAACTTTAGAAGGAAAATTAACCCTCACAGTCCAGATGTTCTATTGGTCTAGTGTGGCCTAATCGTCCGTACTTTATAATGGGAAAAATTTAGCTAAAAAACACATTTATTCTTCGTAGGTCGAGCACCCTCTACTGTAATGCTTTAATTATTTTTGAGCTTTTCGTTTTGGCTTTGAGGGCTCTTAGGGCTTTGCCTTTGTACTTTTTGCTGGGCGGAATGGCCTTCCCGCCAAGCCAGTAGCGCCCTTAGTCCTTCTGTATGCCGGCGATACATTTGTCGCCCCAGAATTATGCCTTCTCTCGTCTCCGGAATAGTCTGGTGAAGCTAAACTATGCCTCTCTTACTGTCTTCAACTCTTTCCTGCAGCCTGTTAAATTCATATACCGCATACATGAGAATCGGTTTGACGGATGCAGAAAGTCCTGAACTAGCAGAAATTCCTGTCAAATGTGACTCAAACACGATCAGCGGATTTCTGTGGCTTTTGGAAGGGAAACTCAATCAAAAACAAGACAACAAACATTGACAACTGAATTGATGCCTGGTTCAACGAGGGAAGCACAACTGCATGCACTCAACGTCTAAAAGTGACAAGCGAACAGCATCTTTTTTGCCTTCCAGTTTTTCCCACTTGCAATAAATAACAACTCCGGTATACGCGACACAAATTTATGAAGAAATATACGCAACTTTTATGATATAAAAAGGACTATAGTGAGCATTTTATTTGCTTATTTTTACTTCCGAAAACAACTCAAGATTTTTTTCTGATATACTTTATAATCAATTCCTCGAAAATTTCACCATCATGGAAAAAACAGGCAATAGGCGACTTTCAGTGAGTTGTGAGGGTGATTCGAGTCATTTGCAACTTTTGCCATTCTCTGCAGCCTTAGCATACTCCAAACAGGTCAAGTTCAATGCCGAATTGACATTTTTACGGATGGTGATCAAATAAATTCCTGTGTATCTTATAATGATAAGTTGGTAACTAGAGGAAGCTTATGAGAGCGCCTTACTAATTTAAACAGACAATATTAGGAAATATGGTTCCATCAAAAGGAGACGCAAACTTGCAGAAAATCGCACTCCTATAAAAGAGCGCTAGTAATGTGGTAGTCACGTGATTGTCCGATCCTAATAAAAAAAAAAGTCGACAAGTACATGAAGTACCCAAGATGAAGACAAAGATGATGGTTAAGGTCTGAAGTGAGTCAGCGTCTCCCTCAATTCCAAACTAGCGTTTACTATGAGGGTA